GGAACGGTGAGGAGGCGGATGAGTGCGACATTTTTGACAGTGCTCCCAGCTCAGCTTGGTGCGCGACATTGGCAAAGCTTCGGCGTGGTGGCGGTGTCCGCTGTGTCCCCAGGGCATCGACTTTGACACTGGCAATGCCTCGCCGCGTGCGCGCATCCTGCAGGCCATTCGCCAGCACAAAACCTCCTGCCACCCCCGCGTTCGGTGGCTGAAGTGGGCCAAGCTGTCCTGCCGGGACCGGGCCGAAAAGGCGACGGTCACGAGGTTCAATGCCAGCTCTGCCGCTCTCATCTCGCAGAAGGCACACCCGCTTGCAAAGTTCGAGGTGTTTCGCTGGCCACGCAAGGTTGGACCCAAATCGCAGGCGATCTCTCCCATTGCCTTCCGTCCTGCTTGGGTTTGCAAGACATGCCACGCCACGTGCCGCGTCGCAAAGCTTGCTGAGGAGCACGCGGCGACCAATTGCCCCAACAAGGCTGCGTCGGGCCTGCTTAAGACTTGGGCCCACGGTCGCCTCAGTACTCTTGCTGCAGACCGGAAAATTTTTCTCCAAGGCCCCAACTCAAGCGAGGCAAAGGCGCGAGGCATTGCCCTTTTCGACCAGGCCAAGGCTGTGCTTGAACGCCAGCTTCGAGCCTTTGGTGCCCCAGTGCCGTGTTTCTAAAGGCTTTTTCTTTCAATGCCGCGTCCAGGGGTGTCTCTTGTGGCGCGGCGCTTCGCCCGATCTTGGTGCGTCATTCCTTTGACCTCGTTGCCATGAGTGAGGCTCATATCCCTGCGGCCTCCCGTGTTGCCTTTGCTGCCGAGTGGAAGCGGTGCGGGTGGTCGGTGGTTTTCAGCGCCCCCGAGGAGCAATACTGTCAGGTGTGCCTCCTGTCCCAAATCCCTCTTAAGCAGGTCTCGGTCTGCAGCCAAGACGGCGCCGCCCGGCACGCGGCAGCCCTCCTCGACCTCAAGAGCGCCCGTGGAAATGTGCCGCTGTTGGCCGTGGCCGTCTACTTGCAAAGCGGCAAGCCCCTTGTTGCGCAGGCCCAGGCCAGTGACATTCTTGCAGGTGCCCAGTCCTCTGGTAGGCGGTGCCTCGTCTTTGGCGATTGGAACCTTGTGCAAGAGGAGGGCGACCTTGCAGCTCTCTTGCAGGCCAATGTTGTGCACTCGTGTGATGAGGCTGCGTGGGGTCAGGAGCTTCCTCCCACTGGCCCAGTATGTCAGGGCTCGCGCCGCCGTAGGATTGACTATGCTGTGTCCATTGGTGACTTTCGTGCCACAGCGGTAGGCCATGTTGCTGAGGATGAGGTCGGAGTGTTGTCGGATCACAGGTTGGTCCATTACACTTTTGATGCCTCGGCTCCCCCGGCCCTTCGGGGTCCGAAGCGCAGGCGGCTCCTTGATAAGGATGCCCTCCCGACTGCCGATGTGCTGCTGCCAGCTTTGGAGGTGCAGCTCTTCCACAGGTGCCTTCAGGAAGGGGATGTGGACGAGGCTTGGCGTCGTCTTTCCGACTTGGCCGAGGATCTGGTGTGCAAGCCTGCTGGCGATGCTCCCGACCTGGTGCCACGCAGCCGGGCATGGGAACCGCAGCCGCGCAAGGTGCGCACTGATTTTGAGGCCGAGATGGATAAATCTCCGGGGCTCAGGGCTCTTCGCCGCCTTCATGCCCGACTGCTTTTGTGTGCACGCCGCCCTTGGGATTCTCCTTTGCTTCGTGCCACAGGTGCCATGGCTGCCCGCACTCGTGCAAAGGTTCCTGCCCTCGGCTTTGTGAGATGCGAGGACCCTGCTGCCCTTTGTCATGTGCAGCATCTCATTGCCACCCTCGAGGAAGATGAGAAACAGCTCCACCTTGAAAAGTGGAAGTCTTTGCTGCAGTGTGACCCCGCCAGGGTCCGGTCCTACGTGAAACGCCGTGCCGATGCCGCCCTTGTAGCCCAGCAGGTGCCCGATAACATTGCTCAGGTCAAGGATGGCTGGCGTCCGGCCATTGCGGTTGAGGAGCAGGCGGCTAGGTGGACAGAGGTCTGGTGCAAGCCCCCTGGACATGACCCTGTTGCCATCGAACGCATCCTTGCTGCGGTCCCTCAGCCCAGGCCGTGCTCCGTGCAGTTTCGCTTCTCTCCGGGTGTCCTTAAGGCGGCGATGCAGTCTATGCATGGCAAGGCTGCTGGTGCTGACGACTCGACGCCCTCTGAGATGATCCATCTCCCCTGGTTTTGGTGGGACTTAGCCTCGCAGCTTTGGTCCACCATTGTTGAAGTCCGCAGGGTCCCGTGCATCTCTGGAAACAAGCCAGGGTAGCTTTGTTGTGGAAAGCGAGACAGAGGACGAGGCCCATTTCGCTTCTCCCGGCGATCTGGACAGCCGGCGCACGGTGCATCAAAGATCAGCTCAAGCCATGGCTAGACAGCTGGCAGGAGTCTCATGTCATGGGAGGTTTGCCGGCCACCTCGGTGGCCACCAGCCTTATGCAAATCCGTAGGGCGTTTGATGAGGGTTGCTCTTGCTTTGCCCAGCTTGACATTGCATCGTACTTTGACACCATTGGGCCCTTTGTGCTCCGTCGGTGCATGGCTCATTTGCACCTGCCTCAGGAGATCTCGGACCTTCTTGGAAATTTTTACCAGGGGGCCAGCGCATCTTTTGCATAAGCCAGGCACTTTCTGGGCGGTGGCGGGAAATCTCCACAGGGCTCGCTCAAGGGTGCCCGCTCTCTCTGATACTGGCCTCGGCGATCGGGCACATCTGGTGTTGCTGGATCAAGGCCTCCCGCCCGCCTGATATGCCCAGATGCCTCAGTTACGTTGACGACCGCACGCTTTGGGTGCCTGCTGGTGCCCCTTGCTCTGCTCTGCAGCTCCCTCTGCGTTGTTCTCGGGAGTTTGACCAGGCCTTCGGCTTTGCATTGTCTTTAGACGAGAGTGCCGTTGTCACCCGGGACCCTGATCCCTGTGCCGATGCCTAGCTGCTGAGTTTGGTTTTAAACGGGCTGCCACGCTCGAAATCCTGGGGGTGCAAGCTTCTTTCGAGTCCGAGTGGCGCCTCCTTAAGTTTCAAGTGGATAAAGCCATGTTACGCTTGAACCTGCTCTCTTGGCCTCCCTTGTCACGCCGTGCTTTGCATGGGCTGCGGGGTTTGCGCGCCCTGCGCCCGAGGAGCTCTCCAAGGTCCGTGGCGCAGTGGTGCACCTTTTCGGCAAATGCTTCACGGGGCAGGCTGCTACTGTTTTGGTCTTCGAGGCCATGGGCTGGAAGCTCGAGCCCGAGTTCGCCTGCGATTTGGGAGCCCTCCGTGTCCTTTGGCGCTCCTGTGCAGTGACGCCGGCCTGGTTGGACACAGCGCCGATTTCGCAGGCCACGTTTGACTGGAAGGCCATGGTCCCCGAGGCTCAGTGTGTGTTGGCCAAATACGGCTGGAGCATGGATGCAAGGGGCCTCCAACTTTGTCGCCGAGACCGTGATGGTGCTGAACGTGTGCTTCGCCCCGGCGTGGACAATCTTTCATGCGTGTTTCGTGGCTCCGCCAGCACTACAGGCAGTTGCTGACGTTCCGTGCTGGCCGAGTGCAGCGCAAGCTCCATCGGTTTGACGAAGGCTTGGCTACAGGGTTGGACCTCCCGCCGCCGGATGGTGGGGAGGACTTTCACTTTGGCGGCCACCGCCGGGCTTTGCGTGCTCAGCTGCGTGGCATCGACTTGTCGTTGATTGGTGCAGGTGGTAGCTGCTGGCACTTCAATGGCCACCGCAAGCTTGCTGACAACCACGAGCGTTGGAACTGCATGTGTGGCTTGAGGTGTCCCTCCAAGCCAAGCCACACTTGACTTGGAGCTGTGAGTGCACTGCTCACTGCCGTGCTGGACTTCGCTCGCCTACCTGTACATCGTGCTGAAG